TTACATTTGTAAGATACATTTTATTTCGATTGGACAGTGTAATTCTGAAACCAGGGCTTGCACGGCCTACCAGATCTGGGTCCTAGTCTCTGCCCCACAGGAATTGGATGACTAGATATGAGGATATAAAATAAGTAGACAGTGTACAAAGAAGGAAGTGTATTGAATGCCGCCTTTCCGTGAAGAAAGGAGGCTTTGTTTTTTTTTTCACAGCTGTAGCCTCATTGCCTAGAAAAGTATCTGACCTGGTGACATAAAATTGGTTGTATGAGAAAAGATTCAGTAAGATGGTGGTGTTCGTTATTTATTTATTTATGTTTATTTATTAAGCATTTGCTATTTTCTAGGTACTGCTGTGGGTACATTGAATCAAGCAAGTAACAAGGTAGTTTAGTGATGGCAGACAGGGCCTGTGATAATCACCCAGCCATGAGATGAGAATACAAGATGTTGTAAAGGAACTGGAGAATGGTAGCTCCATTTGACAAATTACTTTTGTTGTTGCTAGATTTTTTTGTTGTGCAAGGCAAATCTTTAATGCTTTTTGTAATTAGGAAAGTATATTGTCTGACTTATGATTCCCAAATATTGGAACCTAATTTAAATTTTTTTTAAATGTTCATATCAATCAAAATCCTTCTATGCACTGGGTTTGGCCCAGGAGCCAACTAAAGCTTCATCAGGTAAAGTGAATGTGTAATTCCAGTGACTCCTTACCCATTGAAGCAAAGAATTTAACTAGTGCTACCACAGCAAGCCTTCCCTGGCTTCCTCTAACTATTGTTAGGTTTCATACTCCATGTATTTCTTCTTCTGACACTTGTTACATGGCACACAGTTACATTTACAGTCTAATTTATGTCTGTGATTGTTTATTATCTATCTGTTCCTTGGAACACTCAAAAGTTCCCCAAGTATAAGGGCAGGATAGGTTTTTGCTAATCACAATTGATAAGTAGATGAATGAAGTGGACAGGAGAGATTAGTTTTGAAATGCATTCTATAAAGAGAGGCAAAACAACATGAGTATAACATCTCACTTGGAATTCTGTGTTGAAAGACTTAGTTCAACAGCCAGTTGTTTTCTCTGCACAATGTGAGAAAAGATGACTTTTTTCCCCTACCAAATAGTGTTATGTATGCTAAAGTAGGTCAAAGCATATTTTGGGAACACTAGCATTTGCAGCAGAACACATTAATGTCATGTTAGTATTTATTTGTATTTGGTAATTCTAAAGTTCTCAGAGTTTGACATTTTAGGCTATAGCTAATCCTCTGGATTTACTGCTCTGCCTGGGAAAAGCAGAAACACTCTTCCCTTATATGGTTATTAAATATATAATTTTTAGATTCTCAGTATTGGTAAATTTTAATTATTTTAAACTCTGGAGGAATAAGAAAGCTGAAGCGAGAACTGGCAAGGTTCAATAGAAAAGTTTTCTTTGGAAAAAAGGAAACAAAAAAATATTAATAATTCACCAAGTTAAAGTTGACAGATTTACTGTAGTACTGAAATAAAATAGAAGTGTATACTGCTGAACTAGAGAAGCCATCTTTTTATGCCTTGAGATATAGTAAAAACATCTGATGCTGGAAAAGTGAGAAGCAGCAGGGGGTGAAAGGAGAGAAAACCACAACCTGTTTTAGTTTTTTTGGAAAAGTTTTAACAGTGCTAAACTTCACCCTTTATATTTTTATAAGCTGCAGAAAGTCCTAAAAGATTCTTAAAATGGACTCAGTATGGTTCCGTTTAGATAGCACTCTCAAAATGACAAAATTATAGAGGTGAAGACACATTAGTGGTTGCCAGGGGTTAGAGATGGAGCAGGGAGTTCTGTCAGTTCTTACTTTGTGCATCTTTGGGAGTGTAAATATTTAGGGTTGTTAATTCCTCTTGATCCTTCTATCATTAAGAAAAGACCTTCTTTATCTTGGCAGTGTTCTTTGCCTGGTATTAAGAACCATTTCGTCTTTCTTGTACTTATTACTAATAGGACAGGCATGATGTATCTTCTTCCTTTCTTTTACTTTTAATCTGTTTGTGTCTTAATATTTAAAGGGTGTTGCTTTTAATTGGATTGTACAGATCATTTGCATTGAATGTGATTTTCTGTATGGTTAGGTTTAACTCTGTCCTTTTGCCGTTTATATTCTGTTTGTCTCATCTGTTTGTTTTTTTGGTACTTCTTTTACTCCCATTTTGTCTTGCCTTGAATTGAGTATTTTTTTATGATTCTGTTTTCTCTCCTTTGTTCTCTTATTGGTGTTGGCAATTTTGTAATTTTAGTGGCCACTTTAGGTTTTATTTTACTCTTTTAGCTGGTCACATCTACCTTCAAGTAGCAATGTATACCCCTTCACATATAAGAATCTTGCAGGAGTATGCTACTTTTATTTCTTCCCTTCCAAGCTGTCATGCTGTTATATTTTATTTATATGTGTATAAACCCCACTCTCTTTGTTTAGTCAGTCATCTTTAAAGAGATTTAAATAATAAGAAAAATTCATATTTGCCCCTGTAGTCACCATTACTAGCGCTCCTTGTTTCTTTGTTTAGATTCATATTTTTATCTGGTATCATATTCCTTCTGCCAGAAGGACTTCCTTTAGCATTTCTGGTAGTGCGGGTCTGTTGGTAATTATTTCTTTCAGCTTTTATATGTCTGAAAAAGACTATTTATCACCTTCATTTTTGAGTGTGTTTTCTCTGGTTTCATCATGTTTTAATACTTTAAAGATGTTTCTCCATTGTCTCCTGTCTTGTGTTTCTCACAAGAAATTTACTGTCATTTTTAACTTCGTTTCTCTGTATATGACGTGTCTCTTTTTCCCCTCTCTATTTGCTTTAAGATTTCTTTTTATTACTTGATTTTGATATATATGTATTTAATCCTGTTTCTTATGCTTTGGGTTTATTGAACTTCTAGGATGTGTAGATACATATATAGTTTTCATGAAAGCATTGTTCAGTAATGCTTTCTTCAGATTTCTTTTTGTTCCCCACCTCCTCATTTTCAGGAATTCCAATTCTTTATATATTATCAGGATATAGTTCACTGATAATCTTTTAATTTTAAATTCTTATTTTCTCTGTGTTTTCATTTTAAGTAGTTTTTTTCCCCCCCAAAGAGTTATTTATTTATTTATACAAGCACTGGGCACAGTCAGAAGCGCGGGAGGGTGAGAGAATTCACCAGTCAGAGTGGAGAGCAGAGCAGGCAGACTGACGAAATACACTGCTGAGGGGAGCAGTGGGTGTGGCAGGAGAGGTCTGCGCACCATGTGGGGGACCATCGCCCGGCTCACTGCGCCACCGGGGAGGCCCCCATTTTAAGTAGTTTTTAATGCTGTCTTCAAATTCATCAATCTTCTGCCATTAATTCTATCAATTTGGGTTTTTTAAAAAATCTTCTATGTCCCTGCTTAACTTTTTTAAAGTGAGGGATACTGTTTTTAATGCCACTGTGTGTTAATTCTAATCTGTCTAATATCAGTATTCATCTCTTAATAATTGATTATTTTTCTCATTATTGGCCATATATTTCTGCTTCTTTGGTAATATTTGAATAGATACCAGACATTGTGAATTTTGCCTTTTTGGATGTGAGTACTTGTGTGTTCCTATAAATAATCTGAGCTTCATTCTGGGACATAGTTAAAGGTTCTTGGAAACAACTTGATGTTTTCTAAGGTCTTGCTTTTAAAATTAGTTTGGTAAGACCAGAGGAGCATCTAGTCTATGACTATTTATTCCCTACTAGTGAAGCAAGACCCTTTTGTGTTCTCTGCCCAATGCTCTGTGAAGTTTGAGGATTGAGGTTCCATCTAGGAACAGACCCAATTCTGGGGCCTGAGTGTGAGTTACTTTCTCTCTAATCTGTTCATATTTTTCTCCTGGCTCCCAAGTAGTTTCATCAGTTGGATGTACTGACAGTGGAAACCGGTAGCTTTGTAGATCCCCAGGGTTTTCTTTGTAGCCCTCTTTTCTGTATGCTGATTTGGGGACTCTAGCTGTGGTGTCTCCAAAACTCTCAGCTCCATCTCTTCCATTCAAAGAGTCTGCCTGGCTTCTCCTGGTTTCTCGCATTCTGTGTTATGATCTGAAAACTCTCCCAAGGCAGTAAACTGGGGCAATCTCAGGACTCACCTGATCTGTTTCCCATCTCTTGGAGACCACTGTCCTACATGGCTTAATGTCCAATGTCTTGAAAATAGTAATTATGTGTGTGTGTTTGTTGTTTCAGGTGGGAGGATAAATTGGGTTCCTGTTACCCCACTTGGTTGCAAGTGGAAATCTCAAAATTAGATTTTTTTCTTCATGTATTTAATGTCACTATTATTTTATTTAAAAAGTTATATTTTAGCTATTTATGAGTAAATCAATTTCTAGACGTGCTTGATATACACTAATGCTAATGTATATACACATTAGTAGGCCAAAGTAGAATGCCTGGAGACTAACTCATGAATGTATTTTAAATATTTAGTATAAAGGAATTATTTCAGTGGGGCATTTTTCAATGGATGATAGCGGTACAACTGGACAACTCATTTTAAGAAGAAATTAAATTTGGATTTCCTTCTCATGTCTTTAGCCTACACATATCCCAGATAGGTTAAAGATATACTGTAGAAGTATGAGAAGAAAATACAGGCAATTCACAAAATCTTCAGGAAGAGAAAATCTTTTTAAGTAAGACACAAAGGTTACAACCATGATGAAAAATATTGATATGGCTACATAAGGATTTTATATCTTTTATAAGGCAAAAAAAAAAATACTAGAAACATAGCTGATAAACTTACTCTGTAAAGACTTCTCATTTGATAGTGAAAGAAAGAAGACTATCCCACCAGAAAAATGGGCAGAGAATGTGATTAGGTAGTCACAATTATAGGCAAAAAATATATGTCCAGTATTTATTCTTAAAATGTGCTATTTCAGATTAATATTAATAGTAACAATAAAAATAATTTTTCAAATTCAACATTTCTTTCAGAATATTTCAAAGATGCTTCAAAGAAGGCAAAAAGTGGACTTATGATTGTAAAACTGGTTAACCCATGTACAGGTATGTTCTTTCCTCCCTTGGATATTTTTAAACATTGTGACTAGAAGGAGTATAGACTAATTTGCTTTGTGTATTTACTCTTTCAGAATAATTTTTAAAGGTAAGATGCCTTTATAAGATGGCAAAAGCAAGGTAATGACATTACTAGTCAGTCTCCCCAGATAATTCACTGCATCTAAACATTTTTTATTTCTTTTTATAATTTTTATCTATAGAACTAGAACTATTCATCAGAAATACTGGCAAAACAGAAAAGTAGTATGTTTGATTTCTCTCTGAAAACTTGGGCTTTTTTTTCTTTTTTAATTTATTTTTGCATAGAAGAACTGGGGTGTAGGCCAGGTGCGGGGGTAAAAGGATTCACCTGAGATAGAGTGGGGAGTAAAACAGGCAGATTTACTGAAATATACTGCTAAGAGGAGCAGCAGGTGAGACAGGAGAGGTCTGCTGTGCCATGTGTGGATTATCTCCCTGACTGGGCATGGAACTCAGGCCATAGCAGTGATAGTGTGACAGCACTAAGACTTAACCCCTAGGCCACTAGGGAGGCTCCTGAAAACTTTGACTTTCTTAAACTAACTTTCGTAGGAGTAATTGTCTAACACTGGCCTCTATTTTTATTCATTTTGTGGTATAAGTAAAATAAACAACCAGAGTAAAGAAAAAAGAAGCTTTTACCTGGCTTGCCAAGATTTGGGTAGTTTCATTTTGAGTTGTACTTTGCTTTTTTCCTCACCAAAGAGTAATCTGTTTTTGCCTTGTGGAAGAGTAATTTTATTTTTATTAAAAGCCTTGTATATTAAAGATACACATTTTATTGGAAATAATTTTATTTTACCTTTATATTCAATGTATTTTCTGTTTTGTTCTCTAATCTTTAGGCAAAGTATTAAAATATATTATAAACATGTACTGAATATTGGTGATATTATTTATCTCTATGTGGAATTATTATTCCATTTAATCTTTTTATAAGATTTATCAGGTTATTTTATAAGGTTTTACATAGACACTTGATATTTAAAAATCTGGAGCATTCTCTTAGTGACTATAACACTGATCAATGAAAGCAAGAGAAAAATCAAGGAGTACTGACTTGTTATTGTTAGGAAGATATAAATAGCAGCAACAGAGGGAAAATTTTTTTTTACTTCCTCCAGGTTTCTCTTCAAAATGAAATCAAATGTAATTGGTCAGCTGTATTATTTGGAACTTAGTTATGCATAAGACTAAGAGAGGTAATAAATGTTTCTTCAAGAGGTTTAGATAACAGGAAAGGGTTTTTTTTTTTTTTTTTTTAAGATTTATTTATTTACTTATACAAGCACTGGGTACAGTCAGAAGTGCGGGAGGGTGAGGGAATTCACCAGAGACAGAATGGGGAACAGAACAGGCAGACTGATAAAATACACTGCTGAGGGGAGCAGTGGGCGAGACAGGAAAGGTCTGTCATGCCATGTGGGACCCTCACCCATGGCCGGGGATTGAACGGGTGCTGCAGAGGCTGCGGGCAGCTTCGCAGCCCAGCCCTCAACCGCTGCGCCACCAGGGGAGGCCCGATAACAGTAAAGGTTTCAAGGCATTTAAAAAACGTAAAGGTACCAAAAAAATTGATCTGATAAAATTTGTTTTATCTGAATGTCTAGACAATGGAGAAACAAATGTTTTTGTTATATTGACTATAGAAAAATTAAGGCTAACATTTACTGTACACTAAGTGCTGTTCTAGGAACTTTACATAGATACTGTCATTTTAATCCTTATAAAAACCCTGTGAGGTTAGGTTCAGCATTGCTCCCATTTTACAGGTATGGAAATAGAGCCACAGAAAGTTTTGCATAGCCTCCTGAAGGGCACATGCTAATAAGCGTGTGATGGAGACAGAGATACTCAGAGTCTTTCATGGCACTAAGCTAAGTCCTTGTATTGAAGGAATAAAGCCTGCAGATGTGCACAACACCCTCTTCCAGCCTTTTTTTTTTTTTTTTAAGAATGAAAGAGAAAAGCCATCCAATTTAGTGGATATTCCTTATAGTTTGAAGCATGTTATTGTTTTAGGGCCCTTACCTTTCTCACTTAGAGCTAGCCATTAGGGTTTGCAGACTCAGTCCATATGTTGAACCCTACATGTAGGGTGACATTTGTTGCCCTGGTGACAGGGACCCACATGTAAGCTCAGTTCATCTGGCTGAAATACTAGGTTGGGGTAGTTTAAGAATGGATTTTCCCTCACAATCTGACAGAGGATTCAATGAGCGCCTTTGTAGCAGATAAGATAAATGATTTGTACTTTTTTATTTATTGGTTTAAGTGCAGTGAGGATTAGAGAGCTGGAAAGTAAACATCTGTATATAATAACTATAAGGTTTTCTGGAGTCAGTTTATATAGAATATATCTATGTATGTTTATGTTCATTTTAAGAACATTCCTCAGAACTATTGGACGTTTTGTGATTTTTTTTTTATGTGTGTGAAAACTTACAAATAAAAAGCAGATTTATCTTAACAGGGGAAGGAGCCATGTACTTGTTCAATATGTATCTACAGCAGCTGTTTGAAATAAAAGTTTTCAAGGAAAAACACCATTCTTGGTTTATAAATCAATCAGTTCAATCAGGTAAGTGACTAGTATATATATACATAAATGTATGTGTATCTCCATTAACTAAACTTTTACATTTTCAATGAACATGGGGGTTTGGGTCTGTCCCCTAGTTTGGAATCTGGCCAGGGTTTAGCCTTCCTTGGCATCAGAGCAGGCTTGAAAAAGGAATAATTTGAGCAAATTTAGAGCAATACCTGTGTGGTAGGAAATTTTAAACTAACAACTCACATTGTCTCCTAAAATACTGGCACACCCTTAGCGAGAAGTTAGATGACTTTGTACCATGGAGTAGTACAACAGTGTGTTGACAGGCAGCTCTTTGCTCTGCTGTTATCTTTGTTTGAGGATCTTAAGTTTTTATCATCTTACTTCCTTGAACATTGATATGATATATTCTATAGAGAAAACAAAGATTTTTTTTAATGTCTTGTCATATAAATTACTACTGCCACTCCCTCCAAACCTCCAACACATGTACCTATCCAACACTGAAGTTCTGTTTCTTTTAATGTTTCTTTAATTTGGAAACAATATTGACTCAGTAGGAAAAAGGATACTGTGTGTTTTCTGATCTGTTTTCTGGGATCAGGCTGGAGAGTCATAGGATAGTGGAGGCAGTCTGCATCCCCTCTGCCCATTCTCTCATTGTTTCCAGAGAGTGCTTCTTATTTTTCCTTAAGCTCTGTGCTGTCTGTGACTGTGTAGGACATCATTTAGTGCTAAGGCAGAAATGCTACTTTGCTTTCCTTCTAAGGCATCTCAGTTAAGGGGTTTATTACTGTTAATAGATATCACACACCTCTATGAAGGCAAAGATTTTATGTGGCTTTCAGATGACCAAATATAATAGTCTGTATTTGCCTGGTAGGTATAAAGTATATATTCTCTTTTATTCTTGCTGCTAATACTTACTCATTTAGCAATATATGAGAGTTCCAATTTAAGTGAAATACATTTACAGTTGGGTTTAGCTAGATCAACACAGTAATATCCAAATGAAACTATTAGAAAACTAGAAACTATTAGAAACTATCCAAATGAAACTATTAGAAAATATTAGGAGGCAATGATCAAAGTTCTCTTAGTTTTTTGTTTTTTTAACTTAATGAAATAGATTAATATATACATAATTTAGGTCTGTTTAGATAGATTGCTGTGCTAGAGAATGAAAGTAAGTACATGTGTTTCCTGAAACCGTACTAATAAGTATTAAGATAGATGAATTGTTTATTGTTCCATTTGATTTAAAAAAAAAAACAAAAAACACCTCTGCTGGTTCTCTTCTGTGGAAGGGGCATCTGAAATGCTTAGAGGGACATGCAATAGAAGAAAGATACTTGGAAAGTAGGTAGTAGGCTAATTTGTTTGATTTGCCCTTTTTCCTTTAAGCCTGGAAATCACTGTTTACTTACTGTAGAGCTCCCAGTTTGCTTATGCTCAGTCTTGTTAGACTCCTGCCCTTTGCTTTTTTCTTCTAGAGAAGGGGATAGAATGGGGTCTGGTGTGGGTAACAACCATCTGAGCTTTGAGTCGTTGGCAATTAGGGATGTGAGCCCAGACCATAGAAAGGAGCTATGTACAAAGAGTAATGTTGCTTTCCCATGGCTTCTTCCTAAAAAACACAGGAAATTACATTTTACTGCAACTTTACTTATATAGGTTTCTTAGTATTGCCTAGTTTACATTCTGGCTGTATTCCCTTCAACCATCACTTTTTATGAGGAGGGAGGTGAAGGAGGAGGACCTCTGTTAAAAAAGATTTGAAAAGTTAAAGGTCAATTTTAGTATCTTGGCTCCCTTCTATACTCATGGATTTGAAGATCTATGGTGTAAAATCTCATGGACTACTTTCTGCCTTTTGAGAGAATCACATAGAATCTTGGGCCCATAAAAGAAAAGCTTCTGGATTTGAAGCTTCACATAATTTTTCATCTTTTTTTTTTTTTTAATATTGGGAGTAAGATGAAATAACAAAATTGCCCTACAAAGACATTTAATTTACTTTGTTCTTATTTACTCTGTAGGGGGTCTTCTCCACTTTGCCACACCTATGGACCCTCTATTTCTGCTTCTCCACTACTTTATAAAGGCTGATAAAGAGGTGAGTTTCCCAGCTTGGGATATTGACAGTAAGGAAACAGAATAAGTTTTTTTTTTTTTTCCTTTATCTCCTCTGTCCTTTTAATGTTACTAATGTAGATACCCTATACTTCATATTTGATGTGGTTGGTGTAAAACGTGTGTATGTATGTGTGGTACAGATGAGAGCACTGACACACAGACCTGACAACCAGCACCCTAATCTTGGAGTTATTTAAAACTTCGCATGCTTTCTCCTGGCACAGCTTAGCTTCTTTTATTCTCCCCCTTTCCTACTTCTCTTGTCTTTTTTGTTGTTTAGTGAAATTCTATTCCTTGTTTGATCATATTTTCCTTTATCTGAAAACTGCATGGTAGCCAGTAGAATTAGGGCATACAAGCAATGAGGCTAGTAAACCATGTGTCTGTAACAAGTAGAAATGGTTCTAGGCATGACCAAGTAGGCTCTGCTCTGGCAGTGTTCAGAGCAGAAACTTGCTCCTGTTTGTGGTGTGTCCTAGGATAAATTAACAGAAAACCACCAACCTTAATGACTTGGGAGGATTAATCCTCATCTGAACTTTGAAGTCTCTGGATGCTATGACTAAGAGATTCAGATGCAGAATGAAACAGAAATACTGCTAAGTTGATGGTTGTCTCTCGCAAACCATCTCACATTCTTTTCAAATGCTAGAAATATACTTTAAAATAACTCATGATACATGTAGTTATTTCCTTCCCTACATTTTAGATGTGACCTTTTCCTATTTTTTTTTTTTTTTTTTTTTGTGGGACCCTCGCCGGTGGCCGGGCAACGAACCGGCGCTGCAGAGGCTGCAGGCAGCCTTGTAGCCCAGCACTCAACCGCTGCGCCACCAGGGGAGGCCCACCTTTTCCTGTTTTGTTACAAAAAATATTGGTATGCATATTTGAGATGTCCCTTCTTAATCATAAAATTTATTTTAACATCAGTAAAAATAACCCTTCTTTAAATTTTTATTTGTTTAGTTATTTTTATTTTACTTATTTTTATTTTACTTATTTGTTTACTTATTTACTTATTTTTTACTTATTTATGCAAGGTATGGGGGTTGGGGGCTGAGAGGATTCACCAGAGACAGAGTGGGAGCAAAACAGGCAGATCTACTGAAGTATACTGCTGAGAGGAGCAACAAGCGAGAAAGAGAGTTCTGCTGCGCCATATGTGGTTTAGCTACCTGGCTAGGGATCGAACTCAGGCTGTAGTGGTGATAGCCCTGAGACTTAACCTCTAGGCCACCAGGGAGGTCCCCTAATAATCCTTCTTTTTAGCTATCTCAACTCTTAATTAACTTTATATTCAAAGCAAGTTGCTTGTTGCATGCCCTTTTTAAGTATATATGATTAACAAAAACAGGGTGAAACATCAGTTAATTATGAAATTATTATCTTTATTATCACTGTGTGGTAGTTCATCAAATATAAATAAAATATTGTCTTAAAGCATTAAATACTTAGAATATTGACTATTACTCTCTGAAGGAAAAGGTAAATTAAATTGAGGTATTTTTGCCTCTTATTAACCAAATGGAAGGTATGATAAGTTGTCACACATGCTCCTGAGCCAATAAATATATTTCACCCTTAAAAGAAAAGGTACATTGACAGAAAGATAACTGATCAGACACAATTTTTGTCTTGGAGTTACCACTAAAGCAGAAAGGTAAAGTTAGAAGAACAGGGGCCAAATCATACACCTTTAATGAAGACTGCCCTAATAATTTAGACAGACTTGCCTTTTTTTTTAAGACTTATTTTTATTTATTTATGCATATAAGAACTGGGTTGTAGGCCAGAGGTGAGAGAATGAGAGGATTCACCAGAGACAGAGTGGAGAGCAGAACAGGCAGATCTACTGAAATATACTGCTCAGGGAAGCAGCACCATATGTGGGTTAGCTTCCTGGCTGGGGATTGAACTCATGCCAGGTGATAGTTTGATAGCCCTGAGACTTTAATCCCTGCTCCACCAGAGAAGCCCAGATTTGCCTTTCCATGCTGCTATAATAGTAAAGTTAAGGGAAACTAAACTTATTTACAAAGAATGTTCTCAATTCTTGTCTACACTTAAAGCCCATTGGCTATGAACTCTTATAAACTTGGCTGAGACTGATTTTTTTTAAAAAACAATTTATTACTATTTTTTTTTGCATAGAAGAACTGGGTGCAGGCTATAGGTCCCTGGGGATAGAGGTGAGAGCATTCACCAGAGACAGAGTGAGGAGCAGAACAGGCAGATCTACTGAAATACACTGCTAAGGGGAGCAGCGGGCAAGACAAGGAGGGGTCTACTGGGCCATGTGGATTAGCTCCCTGGGTCGGGATCAAATTCAGGCTGTCATGGTGGTAGTGCTGAAACTTAACCCCTAGGCCACCAGGGAGGCCCACTGAGCCTGATTTAATGTCTGTGCAGCTTCATTGCACTTGTCCCTCTACTTGTTCCTCTATTTGTTCTTTTATTATGATGTGCATTTGGGAGCATTGGAAGACAGCTCTTACAAAAGATTCACTTTTGGGGGAGAGATGGTTTGTGTGTCATAGCACTTCTTTCTTCAGCCTTAGACCAAAGATCGGGAGGAGGGGCATGTATACCCTCTTGGCTTGTTCCTGGCAGTGTTAGCATGTGATCAGAACTCCCACTCTGTAATCTCAACTGATTCTTCTTCAAATTGAATGGATTGGACCAGTCCTACATTTCTGCCATCTTTTCAACTTTTCTGTGCTTTTCCAGATTTATTCTTCCCTATTTCATCCAGGGACTCTAGCCCTGAGATGCACTGGTTAGAACCCTAATGTTTCACCATCTTCAAAAGAGAGCTGAGAGTCTGTTCTGGCACCTTTCCCAGGTTAGAGATTCTTAGATGGAATGAATGACTTTGAATTTAGTTTAAAGGTCCAGTCCCGAGGTAATGTATCTTTTTCTCTTTTAATGTGAGTGTGTTTACTAGAATGTTTGTATTCTGACTGAACAAAAATCTTTTTTCAGGGAAAGTTTCAGCCCCTAGATCAAGTTGTGGTAGATGATACATTTCCCAATTGCATCTTATTGCTGAAACTTCGTGAACTTGAGAAGTTACTTCCACATGTGACAGAGGAAAAAGGTATGATATAGAACCTTGAAACCAGGGTTATGGATGCTAAAAAGACTGGGCATTTGTCTGAGAATGTAGCTGCTTTTCTTTTTTCCCCAAGTCCTGAACATGTACCAACTGTATAGGCTGCACTTCACCAGCATTCTTGGGAGGAGAAAGTAGCTTCTGATGGCCCACTGCATGTAATACTTACTCTAATCAGTCATAGGGGAAGCTGTCATTCATAGTTGCTTCCACATGTTGATACTGGTCCTCTGTTGCACTGAAGTGTTCAGTGTTGAATTCCAGCCAGTAAAATATGATGGCCTGTCTCCTATAGTCCTGGGATCATGAAGCTTAAACTTAAGTCTCAGTTCTTTGAACTAGTCTGTGACTTTAGGTAAGCCACTTAACCTAAATGACTCAGATCTCTAACCCCGATCTCTTATTCATAATATTACATGAGACCTGTATCTATTGATTAAAAAAGGATTTATTGAGCACCTACTAAGTAACATAGGTTGAGCACTAGTGCTAAGCTCTGGGAATAATTATAAATATGATGTTATTCTTTCCCTCACTTTACTTCAAGTCTGATGGAGGCAATGAAAAGTAGCCTATAACAATAGAAAGTAATGAAAATGAACTTTGGGTTTTCTGGGGAGGCACATGACTGATTTATAACCTGACTTGTGTTGGTGGGTAGATGGGTATTGTGTTGCTTTCCTAGGAGGAACAGCCTAACTGGAGTCCTGGCATGTGGTCAGAGTAGCACCATACATATATAGATGTATGGAAGTTTTTCATGTGCAGGAAGTTCCAAGGAGTTGAGTATAACAAGAGTATAGAATGCTAGGGATGAATTTAGGTTCATAAGGACTGATGATGTGGGAATGCTACGCAAAGGTTCAAATGGAGAAGGGCGTTATATATGTCTGATCTTTACCTGATGGTAGTGGAATGTCAACGAAGTTACAAGCATGGCAATGCTAGAATTGGGGAATATAATGGAGAAGCTAAGGCTAAGTCCTCAGAGGCCACTGTAGTGGTGTAGGCAGGAGATGATGGTAGCTCAAGATAGAACTAGAAGGAAGTAGCAGTGTGAAAATAGAACCAACCTCATTTAGTGATTGGATGGTGGTCAGGGAGAATGAAGAATCAAAGATAACTTTGGATTTATGCCTTGACCAACAGGATGTGTGGTATTGGCATGCTGCAGTCAAGGAACTTGGGTGGAAAGAGCAGCCTGGGGTAACCAAGAGATAAATTTTAAATAACTATTTATTTGTATTTTGAGAGGAGGAAGTGAGGCAGTGTATGTGAATATGTTTTGACAGGTTAAAAGCGCTATATAAATTTAACATCATTGTCTCAAAAAATCATCCAAGTAGTTTTAGGGTTAATATGGAAACATAGTATGAGAACCAAAACAACAGGCTGATATGTTGTGGTTATTTGGGGTCACAGATGGTTTGGCCAACTATTACAGTTGTTCTTCTGGGACGAAGAAAGTGGTTATTCCAAGAAGTGTAAGCTTATGGTGGGAAAGGAGAGAACCTCCCTGATTGCATTTCACACTTGAGGGGTCTACTAAATTCACACTTGGCCAGACTTTGAGCTCCATTTTGGAGTTAAGGGATGTGTGGTGCCAAAGTTTTATCAAAGCTGTTCCATTTAAATACATTCCCTGATGCTGAGCTTGGCAGGAAACAGCAATCTTTTTGTTGTTGACAAATGAAGTAGCTCATAAGCATTTCTGAAAGCTAAAAAATGAGGAATAATTATAAGTCACTTTAATTTTGCCAAGTTAATATATGTTGAAAATGCAGTTAAGTTCATTGTCCAAAATTCTTACATTAGCTGTAAGGACAGTTAACTTAAACCAAAAACTATTAATACACTGGCATTTGTTAGCTTACAGCCTGTGTTTCAAAGCAAGAGGTATTCTCTCTCTCATTTCTTCCTTCTTGCGGACCAGACCCCTGGCCATTTATTGAAACATTATCTGAACTCTTCTAATCTCCTTCACTTCTTAGCATTACCTGACTTTTTAAGACGTTCTCCTGTAATAGACGTGCACTACACTTATCTTGTTTGACCAGATCTAAATAACCAGACTTCAAAGTACTGTGCTTTTCCCTTTGGCTCTTCATGGGAAAAGATGTCTATCTCAGTATACTGTCCTTGTATACACAGCTGACATCAGGAAATATAGTTCACATATTTGTGTTCTGGGTCAGGGGATAAAGCTAGTAACATGGAATTGCTTATGTATATTTTGATGAAAAGGCCTCTTTGAGGATGAGGTATGAGAGATGTTATTTTTCTTTTTTGATTTTATTTTTAAGCCTTCCATTACTTTAAATTTGCAAACTATAGTTTATTAGGGAAAGAATTTGATTATGAAGGAACTGCTAAGTCTCCCAGAGAATTGCATACATCTTTTGCCATGTGAAATTTAATCTGAATTACTTTGTGTTTTGTGTTACTACATTAAATTTAAATAGAAAAAAGGAAAAAATTGAGGGCTAGATTTTCTAGAAAATTAGTATATATAAATGTTGATAATACACTTTTGAGAAGGAAAGTGTGTGGTCAGGTGAAGCAGCTTTTTTTTTTTTTAATAAATTTTATTTTTATATTCCCCATACAATTGCAACCCCCTTATTTTGACCCCAATCCCTCCCCTCCCAGCTCCCCACCCCCCATAGAGTTCATAGTTTTTTGTTGATTTTGATTTTCACTTTCTTATAGTTATTCATTTTCCTGGTCCCTTATTTAAGTTTTCTAGATTCCGAAGCAGCTTTTTTTATGTAAATGTCTTACTCTCCTTTTTAGAGAAATTATTATATCCATGCAGGTTGGGGTAAAATTGTATTTCATTGTGGTTTGATTTGCATTTCCCTAATAAGTAGTCTTTTTGAGAATCTTTTCATGTTTCTGTTGGTCATTTGTGTCTGTTTGTAAATGTGTCTATTTGCCCATTTTTTTAATGGAAATATAATTGATCTATAACATCAGTTTCAGGTATATAACATAGTGAGTCAATGTATGACTATATTGTGAAATGAGCACAATTTTTTTGATATCTGGTATTATCCTCTGTTAATAATTTCCCTTTGAGTGGCAAAGAGAGAACGAGCTTTGATAGCTGAATGAAAAATACTGTTCTCATCCTGAAGAGTGAGCTTACTGTTTTAATGTAATACATTACCCTATTTTAGTGATTGCTTTGGTCTAGTTAGTCTAGTTAACATCCATCACCACATATAGTTACAAATTATTTTTTCATGTGATAAGAACCTTTAGATCTACTCTCTTAGCAACTTTCAAATGTGCAGTACAGTATTTTTAACTATAGCCACCATGTCATACATTATATCCAGGACTTTTGTACTGGAAGTTTGTACCTTTTGACCATCTTCACAACCATTTCACCCCCTCTCTACTAGCAACTACCAATCTGTCCTATCTTTGAAGTTGTTTAGATTAAACACGTAAGTGAAATTGTGCAGTATTTTGGTCTTTTCTGCCTGACTTTTCTTAGTACAGTGTCCTTCAGGTCCATATAGGTTGTCAGAAATGACAGGAAATTTTCTTTTCTTTTTTTTTTTAATGTCTGAATATTGATTTAGTTGTCTTTGCTTTTAGTTCAGTGATTTTTTTTCATTTTTAAGCTACAGAATTTTTTGAAGTTGTATTTTTTTTTTAATTTTGAAGTTATAGAAAAACTCAGAGGGAAGCTTACAGGTATCTTTTGTACCCAACCCAAATAATCAAATATTAATATTTTGATATATTCACTTCATATTTCTTTTGGGGAAAGAATTTCTTTAAGAATAATCAGATAATATAAACTTAGGATCTCATGGCCTGCAAGGAAAGTTAAAAATGTATTTGATTATAGTTTTTAACAAGTCATTCAGACTTCATTATCCTTCATCTGTAAGATGAATAGTTTAAAGGGTTGAATATATGCCCCATATTCCTACTATCCATTACAATTAGTACTCTGCAACATTGTTCTAAATCAAAAAGCTTTCATTCTCTTAGTTTTATTGTATTGAGCTTTCTGATGACCAACATATGGACATTATTAAGTATTGCATTTAATAGTGTCTAGTATCTATCAAAGAGATTCTTTAAGAATTAAGTAAAATAATGTAATTTAATCAATGCCTGCAGAATGCTGTATGCATAGTAAATGCTCAGTAAATGTTAGTACTATTAAGACTTCTTAATTAGAAATTTTTAATTATTTGCTGATGTTTAAGTACTGGGCACACAGTGAGGTGACCAAGAGACGTTTGTTTGATAGTTTATTGATTAATATATATTCAAGTAATTTAAGGAAAATGAGAATCAGATAACATTACAAATATTTACCATAGATTGAGAAAATATGTACTACCTTTGGGCTTACAGTTTTATAGACATTATTATGTCCTTGTAACAACTTCCTTTCCTTGTTCAAAGTCTACATTTTTACAAATGAGGATACAAGTTGCTCAGCATTTGCATAACTTGACCACCACTGAACAACTGGAAGTGGTAGAAGCAGGGTTTGAACCCACTTCTGTCTGACAGCAACTCTCTCCCTTCTTATTCTTATAATTGTATAATGCTTTGAAAATACTCAGAGTTGTTGGGTGTTATGAAAATAGAAACATTTTTTTTGATGTCTGGTATTATCCTCTGTTAATAATTTCCCTTTGAGTGGCAAAAAGAGAGAGAGCTTTGATAGCTGAATGAAAATACTGTTCTCATCCCGAAGAGTGAGCTTACTGTTTTAATGCAATACATTACCCTGTTTTAGTGATTGCTTTGGGTCCTGGCTGTTAATTTGAATTTGGATTATTGTCTATTTTTAAGTTAGTGTTTGGTTCATTCTTGGTATTTCATTGTACAGATTATAATATAAGAAAGAAGAATACTGTAGAGTGGCTAAGTAATATCCTTGACAGTAGGCAAAGATAAAATAGAAAGCTGATGTTTTTTAACTTCTATCATCTCCACAAGCACTGTGTGGC